AACGCTCAGTTCGGAGTTTCGATTATTTTGAATTTTCGGTTTGACCGAAAATAAAATAAATAATACTATTCAGCTCGACATTAAAATTAATACAATTAGCAATTACGAGAATATAATAAAAATAAAATTATCGAGCCCGAATAATTAATTCAAAAAATAAAATAAATGACAAATAATAATATTCAATTATTCTCGAACAGTAGATCCCCAGGCATCTTGAAAGAGTCCCCTAATGTTGTATTCTCCATCTAAATCATCTTAAATATTTCTCACAGTTGGTACATCTGTGATGCATTGAGCTGTTGCTGAAAAAATATTCTCACCATGGAAAATCCAACAAGTATAACCTTCTAGAAATCCATACCAATCAAATGCTCACGAACAATTTCAACATCATGTGAAAATCTGTTGAAACATTTTCGACATGGGCAATATATTGTTCCATTGATAGCTGATTTTTCCAAAGCAAATGTGATAAATATGGACACCCCTTCAGTATATTTTTTGCTTGATCTAGGATCATGCATCCAACTTTTGTCCATCCTCAATTTGAACAATCCTATCAAAATTCCAAGACACGCTTAAAAGACTTACGAAACGCTAAAAATTAAACTTCGTAACACTAAAAGCTAAACAACAAAGCTTCTTTACAATACAACAAAGCACTCTTTACAGCATATGCACTTTTCATTTATCACATAACAAATATAAATAAATTTACTATTTTCTTAATTAAATTAAAAAAATTGAAAAAAAGGCCCTGGAAAGATTCACGAACCATTTCATTCAAAGCAAATTGCATTCAAAATTTCACATCTTCCATTCGAACAATCATATCCAAAATCTCAAAACATCCCAACTTGTAGGGATCACTAAAAAGGTGAAATTTTATTAGATTGGAACAGGACAATATAAAATTTTCTACTACATGTATCGGAAAAGAAATATGAGGGAAAAAGATATAACAAAAAAAAAAAAAAAAAAACCTTCCAAAGAACAGAGGTGAGGGTTTGAATGATCCGCTCCCAACTTCTGGCCTTCTAAAGGCCTTTCGGTGTAAGATTAGGTAGCAGCCCACGAGAAGAATTCAATTTTCTTGCGGCCGGCACATTGGAAGGATTCGGACAGGGATCCGTTGTCTGGCTGTGATGAAAAGTTTTTATGTTTTTTTCTTTAACTTTATTCTGTCAAAGTTTTCTCTAGCTATGAAAAGTTTTTTTTTTTTAAGTTTCTTCTTTGTTTTTATATTTTATTCTATCAATTTTTTTAATTTTTTTTTTTATTTTACACTCTTGCTAGTGATGAATTTGTCACCTGGGCTGGTCATAATTTAATAGTGCTTTTAAATAATTTTAATGAGGTTGATTAATATTGCAACACTTTTTTTAAAATGTCATAAAGTGATTACGGTTTTAAGGTAAACTAGTGTATACCCCGTGCCATGCACGGGAATAATATTGAATTAACAATATTATAAATAGACATCGAGTTTGAGTCACTCAATAGCGGAAGTGGAAACTACTATTGATCTAGAGGAAGAAAAAAAAGTAATTATCAATTAAAGAGAGGATAAACAATACTTAATAATTATAAATTAAAGATTCGGGGTCAAACAATGTAAAATTATTTTGTATAAGATAATAAAAAAATTTGATTACACACCATTTCAAAATTATTATTATACTTTTTTGTATGGTTAGCTTATAATATTTGTAAAAATATTAGTAATTAGACCGATGAAAATTAACTTCTTAAAGTAGATAATTGATTTATAGTAGTAATTATGAATTGGTTTCTATTTTATTTTATTTTTTCTTTTTAAAGATTATGAATTTCTAGTAGTAATTATGAATTGATTTTTATTTTATTTTTTCAAATCTGTATAGATAAGGGATGAGATTTTTTAAACACGTGAGACGTATGCAATGAGATTTTCTAACAGAAGAGATAAGCTCGTGTAGATTTATACTAAAAATAGGAAAAAAAACAAATATTTATTGTCAAAGTTTTGATAAACTAAAAAACAGGAAAAAGAGAAACAAATCTTTACACAATTAATGAGCCGATTTTTTTGTCTATTCAGATTTGTTCAACAATTACTATATGTAGGATATATTTAATGATTTTGGCGGGAAAAAGTTTCTAAATTTGTAAAAATGTTATTCTTTTTATATAATGATAGATGTTGTTTTATTAGTAAATAAGGTGACACTTCTTAAAAAGAGACGTTATTTAAATACAGATTTATAAAAAGCATCGTCATATGGATAAACACGGTGACATTTTTTTACTAAATGTCATAATTTATTTACACTTTCAAATAGCGTCTCAATATATGTTAACATTACAACACTTTTCTTAAAACTGACATTATTTGATTATATTTTTTAAAAAGCGTCGTTATTATTTTATCATTACAACACTTTTTAAAAAGCGACGTTATTTTAACTTTATAACACTTTTTAAAAGAGTCGCTATTATTTTAACTTTATAACGCTTTTTAAAAAGCGTTGCATTAATTCTTGTTTTAATTACACTTATTAGAAAAATGACTAGAACAAAGGGAGATCGAAGTAGATACCTGGCTTCAGGAATCTACAAGCCAAACGAAGAACGGATCGATATGGTACAAGGCACGGGCACGGCCTCGGAGGCTTCGGCTTCGGACAGAAGGCTGATTGTCATGGGCTCTCCTCGGCAATGGGGGTTCCTCGTCGTGAGATGGCTGTTCGCAGGTGGCCGGGACTCACCGTGCGTGTGGCCTTCTGCTCGCTAGCGGTTGGGCGTGGCGTGGGGCACGCGGCGATTGATGCGAGAAGGCTGCTTGCGGCTTAGAGAAAAAAAATGAGGGATGAGGGCCGATTTTCTTCAGATTTTTCATGAGGTTTGAGAGGGATGAGAGAGTTAAATTTCCAGAATTGTTTCTCTGAAGAAGAAGAAGAGGGGAATGCCGTGCAAAATGGGAGGAAATTCTAATTTTCTTAAGTATGCCAAGGAGATCAAGGGAATAAATTAGGCTATCAATGTGATTTATTATGCCATGAATAGCACTCATTAAGGGGGTCTTGAGGGCTGGAAACGTGTGGTTAAAAGGGCTCCAAGGAGATGATCAAAACCTTCCAAACTTAGCTTAAGATTTGAATTTTAAACCAAAGGTACATGGAGCCAAAAAAATTTTACCAATAGGGCCAAGCTTGAGGAGTCCGATTTGGGCTGAGTAAAAGGCGCAAAGCGCCGAACCATTAAGCTAAAAATGGTCCAAGAATGAGTCTTAGTAAGGCCGAGTCCAAGGTTCGAGGAAAAATTGGAAACAACTCGAAAATAATCTACGCGATTGAACAAAGACTTTTCGAACGATTCAACGAGCGAATTTAAATCGAACCACGACGGGCGAACGATTTTCGAATAACGAAGGCATAAAAATATTGGAAATAATTTAAGTAGACGATCACGTCTACAAAATTATTCGACTTAAAAGACTAATTAGAAGAGGACATCTAATTAATCAACAGAAGCTTAAACGAGGATTTGTCGTGCAATACAACTAAAATAAAAGTGAGGCGAATAAATAATATAAAATATACTAACTCGTTTAAACGAATGAGGCGCTACAACAAGTATCTATTTAATACGTAAATTTTTTCTACACAACTAGTGTGTACCCCGTGCGATGCACGGGAACAATAGACCTCGAGTTTGAGTCAATGGAGGAAGTGAAAACTACTATTGATTCTATTTAAAAAGAGGAAGAAAAAAAATAATTATAAATAAAAGAGGAGGATAAACAATACTTAATAATTATAAATTAAATATTCGGGGTCAAACAATGTAAAATTATTTTGTATAAGAGAATATAAAAGAATTTGATTACACACCATTTCAAAATTATTATTATACTTTTTTGTATGGTTAGCTTAGAATATTTGTAAAAATATTAGTAATTAGACCGATGAATATTAGCTTCTTAAAGTAGATAATGGATTTCTAGTAGTAATTATGAATTGATTTCTATTTTATTTTATTTTTTCTTTTTAAAAATAATAGATTTCTAGTAGTAATTATGAATTGGTTTCTATTTTATTTTATTTTTTCAAATCTGTATAGATAAGGGATGAGTTTTTTAAACACGTAAGATCGTATGCAATGGGATTTTGTAACAGAAGAGATAAGCTCGTGTAAATTTATACTAAAAATAGGAAAAAGAAAACAAATATTTATTGTCAACACGATAAACTAAGAAACCGGAAAAAGAGAAACAAATCTTTACACAATTGAGCGAATTTTTTTGCCTATTCAGATTTGTCCAACAATTACTATATATAGGATATATTTAATGATTTTGGCGGGAAAATGTTTCTAAATTTGTAAAAAGGTTATTCTTTTTATATAATGATAGATTTAATTCAACCCGAAATAAATATTAGTCATAAAAAAATCAGTCAAAACTGGGTCAAACTCAAATTTTTATAATTGATTTTCCAACACACAAAACTAGGTTGATAATATATAATATACAACTTCATATTTTCCCTTCTGTTTAGTGCTGGTGTTGTTACTTTTGCAATCCCATGTGATGGACCATCTCATTTATACTTCAATGGTGACTAGGCCCTCTCTCGTGGTTTGATATACATATCCCGGTACAGAGTACATACGATTGCTTGTCCTAGTGATTGCTCATGAGTAACTGATATAGGATAAGAGCAAAAACTCTCCAATGGAAAGTTCGACCAATCAAATTAAAAGACAGGATTATTACTTGTGAAGGATGTATGTGTAGTATATAATAGTGCATGTGGTTTTCTTCAAAAAGATTATAGTAATAGTGAGCAACCATTTCCCCATCCCTCTAACGCTTGCTCTCTTTTGCTTTTTTTTTTTCTTTTTTTTTTTCATACTTT